TGTTGTATTTTGGGTGACAGTTGTGGGGAGTTAAGATATTTTAGCTCCCCTTCTATGTACTCCTTTTCTTAATCATTTAATGAAATCTATGTTATTGATCAAAAAAAGTTAGGGATGGATTGGGTGTAAGGAAGTTAAAATTAGTTAACGATGCCCTGTTAGGCAAATGGTGTTGGTGTTTCGATGAACAGCCAAAGAGCTTATGGAGAAAAACAATTGCATCTAACTATGGTACAAGAAACATGGCATAGGACCTGGGAAGCTCCAAAGAACCTTATAGGTGCTCTGCTCCTTATGGGAAGGGGTGGAAAAAAGCTAAAACGGTTTCAGTTCAGGTATAAAATACAAGATGGAGAATGGTAATTGAATCAGGTTTTGGAACAATATATGGTACTTGGATCAACCTCTTATGGACTTATTCCCATCCCTTTATCTGATTCCCAGGGACAGAATCACAGAAATGCTTTAGTGGCTGATTGCTTCCAAATAATAAATACCAAGTGGCTTGGAACCCTTCATTTAGAAGAAATGCAAATGATTGGGAGGTTGACCATTTAACAGAGTTGCTTTCATTAATGCAAAAAGAAAAAAAAACCATGTACAACTAGAGGCTGTACTTTCATTAATGGAGTTACTCTCCATGATTCAAAGATATGAAGTTAATGTAAACCCAGAAGACAGAAAGATATGAAAATTTGACGGCTCGGGTCAATACTCGGTGAAATTTGGGTTCCTTATATTCCTTCTGAGATGGCTTGTGTGGTTTGGGCTGCTGCGTAGATAAATGTTTGACAAAATATAATATGGTGGAGAGGGATGATAATGTGTGGTATCTGTCAGAAAGTGGAGACTCTCGACTGTCAGCTAGCTTCTGCCCTATGGGCAAGATTTCTCACAGATGCTTTAAGGTATTTGGCTGTATGCCAGCTTCAGCTGTAGACATTTATGGTGCTGGGACCAGGTTGGCCTAAACAAAAAAAGTGCAGTCCGGTGCAAAAGGCTCCCTCCAATGCAAGGTCTGGGGAGGGACAGATGTACACAGCATTATCCCTGCGCACATGGAGAGAATGTTTCCAAGATTTGAACCCTGGTCACCAAGGTCACAATGGAGCAATCCAACCATTGCACCAAGGAGGTTGGCCTAAACAAGCAGAAAATTATTTGGAATTCTATCCTGGATGCAATTATTTGGCATGTATGAAAGGAAAGAAATGATAAGAGTTTTCAACCAAATTCAGGCATCAGAAGAGGAAATAGTTGATATAATCTGTGGATTCCTTTACTCATGGCTAAGTATCCTCCAGCATTTAAAGGAATAAATTTTGAAATGTTTTTTGATAGTTGTAATCTCCTTTTGTAAAATTTTTTTTTGAGAGAAAGGTAAACTAATATGTTAGACAAAAAGCAAAACCATATCTGCACAACAAGGAGCTGTGCAGTGCCCAATCAAGAACTGTACATCTTCTAAATTGTATACCCTATGTACATAGTTACAAAAAGAGCTATATTGTCTATTCCTGAATCATTTGTGTTCCTACCCATGAGTACATCCTATGATGCAGTAGGGCTGGAACAAACTAACACAAGACAGAAAGAGAGAGGAACAGAGGGTAGAAAGGGTAGAGAAAGAGAAAAGAGAGAGAAATCCCAAGGAATCACTCCAAGGGGTCCTAGACAGAAAGAGAGGAAGAGAGAGTACAAAGGGTAGAGAAAGAGAAAAGAGAGAGAAATCCCAAGGAATCACTCCAAGGGGTCCTAGAATCACTCTAGGGTTTGTAGGAATCACTCCATACAGCAAGAGAGCTCTTAAGAAATCTTCATTCATTCATTAGCTTCAAAAGAGAATACATCTATTTATAGAGTGACTTGTGTGGCCCAGAATACTGTTCACCATTATTACAAAAAGTGCCACTCTTTGTCTTGTGCATCAAGAAACACAATAACTTTCTATCTATTAATGCAAATAAACTGAAAATCGAAAGACAAGCACTACTAAGCTAGAGAAACAAGATGTTATAGCCCAGGCCCCACACAGGACTAGTTAAAATGACGAAAATACCCATACTATCCAAATATACAAAAAACACAAAAATTTTAAGAAAAATCCATATTTGATTTTCAGCTCCTGCATTATCCTACCCCAAAGCCCTTTACATAAATTTTCCTCTGTAACAAACTTTTTTTCAAACAGCCTTTTGTTTCCAAACCACTAAAGCTGGCCCTACTCCCCAAATAACCTTGCCTTCTTGGGACAGACCTTCAACTGCCAACTCTGCAACACTGCTAATTGATTTTCTGGGAAACAGAACTAAAGTCACTGAACATCAAACAGACCCAAAAACTTTCCCCACACATTATGCACATGCTAGGCAGCACACTCAGCCCTCTCCCAGCCAAAACCTCCGCTGTCAAACACTTGCCCAACACTGCCACCCATAAGAGAAAAGCAGCTTTTGGAGGGGTTGTGGTATTCCACACTACAGCTTCGGGGAAATCCACCATCTCTGCCTCCGTGAGCTTATTATAGAAGGATCTCACTGAGAAAATTCAAAATTCCTTTTATCCCACTTCCATATTCTCTTATCCCTACTCATGAATCCAGGAGTCATGGCAGATAGCTGTTGCATCATCTCCATTCACTGCTCAATCTTCCAGTCATTTAGATTCCTTCTATACACCGGACACCAAACTGCTGTATCTCCTACCCAAGAGAAATCCTAAGCAACCAAGCAGTGTTTACTTTGAGCAATCTCATAGAGGTTAGGGTAGCTCTGATTAAGAGGATCTCCACACCAAGGGCCTGTTCATTTGCTCTGGAGTCTGACATCTGAAAGTGCAATAATTACATTAAGAGGTATATTGGTATTGGTGAACTTTTCTTTCCTCTAAACTCTGAATGCAGAGAATGTTGCTCTGAATTCTGACTTCTGAATTCTGAAAATTATCAAATATCCATTTTGACCCCATATATGAGAGTTTTTGTTTACCTTTTTGGGGGCATCATTGAAAAACAAAAAGTTGTATGATTGCACTTTAAGAGATAAGAGATAAGAGAAAACGAACAACCATTTTTCTCTTAAATTTAAAAGATTCCTCTTAAGAGATGAGAGCTAAGAGGAAATGAATAGGCCCCAAGTATCAGTCCAGAATTTGATTCTTGAGCCATCTCCCACTTTGTACCTGATTCCTTTTCTGAACTCCACAAGAGCTTTTTGAATTCCTTTCCACACGGCACACCCATAAGACATTCTTGACTCCACTGGCTCCCAGTTTGAATCACCTACACCATATTTAGCTAGAACAATCCTTCTCCATAAGGCATTAGGTTGTTCATTCCACCTCCAAAGCCACTTGGCAAGACAAGCTATATTGAACTTCCTTAGCTTCCTCACCCCCAAACCCCCTGCTTTCTTTGGACTACATACTTTGTTCCACTTGACCAAATGCAGTTTAAATTCATTCTTCCATCCTTCCCACAGAAAATCTCGCATTTTCTTTTCAATCATCTTAGCCACCGCCCCTCTCTTTTTGTAAAGATTGAAAGGTTTGTGAAGGTTCAGAATACGGAATCTTGTGTACATGGTGCCATACACTGTAACTATTTTACCTCTTCAATGAAATTATCCTCACCATTTTCAAAAAAAAATTATATTTTACCATATAACTACATTATCTACTAAATGACAAATTAATAGGTCATTCAGATCATCCATTTCAGTCATTATCAAACACCCCCTAACACTTGTTGTCCCATGAAGACACAACAACATTATGTATTAAATATCTGAATCAAGGTCTTAGTAATCAAGTATACAGCTAAACAAATTCTTTATTTTAAATGTGAAAGAAACTTGAAAAATAAAATAAAATAATCCTAAGAAAAAAATAAGTGAAATCTAATGAGCTAGATGCACAAAATCTCCACAACAACCTCAAAATGTATGGCCAGTGTTTTAAAAACCAACCCTGAAACTGGACTACTTTTCCATCTCATGGGCATGTCAGCAGTTCAACCCTCTGGGTCAACCCCGCTGACTGGGTCAAACAGTTCAGCAGTAAACTAACCAAATCATCAGGTTGTTGACGAAGTCAACATTTTTTGAAAATTAGAGGTTCAAAGGTAAAAGTTTGAAACAGGATTAGAAACATGGTAAGATAATGGGTCAATTGGTTCAAGTGGCAGGTTCAACTGTGGTTTAAAAACATTGATGATGACACATTGACCAGTGTATTCCAACTTTCTTTTTAAACAAATAGTGTATATACAAAATAAAACATAAAATAAAGAATAATTTTCATTAAAATTGTTATTTTATGATGTTTAGTTCCACATAACTGGTAATGGAAAACAACTGTTTTTTTTTTCAAAAATGAGTGTAGTTGTACAAAAATAGCATTCCTTCTGATCATCAAACAAGTCATTCTCTAAACAGATGGTTCGCCATTTTAATTGAAATCTCACAACATCTACATGTCTCAACAATCAAAGTTTGATTTCCCCGAGTTAAATCCAAACACCAGGAAATTTAGGAAGATAATTTGCTTTCCCTTTGAATATCATTTTTGAGGAAGTTTTCTTGCATTTTATGTACAAACAATTGCAACCAATATCAATCAAAAAATTAATCACCAACAGAAACCAATGCAGCCAATGTGTAACAAAGAAACCTAGCTATGTTATAATATATATATATATATATATCTGAAAGTAAATGGACTTCAAGATATCAGCAAAATACACAAAAATCCAAGTACAAAAAGCATAGTTTCCAACCAACCCTGATAACAAGAAATCATATGAAGAAAAATAAAAATGGCATAGATAACATACTTAACTATCAAATACAATATGAAGAGTGAAAATTTTAGTTGAACTGAATATTAACTAAGTATTATTAAAAAGGATAGACATTGATTAAAGGCCATCCTAAGTGACCAAATGCAGAAATAGCTACTAGAAACATACACCAAATACATAGAAATTAATTAAGAAAACCTACCTCTTTCAGTTCAGTTTCTTCTAAATCTTCTATTTCAGGGACTGCAATGGAAGATTTTCCACGCTTGGCTCCTTTCTTCTTCTCTTTCTCTACATCAAGTGGATACTTGGCATTATCATGCTCTAACAAAACTAGGAGTTCCTTTCTTATCATTTCATCAGCCTGCTCAATTAAAGTAGGAGGAACAAATGAACTCTTGTCTTCATCAGATCTCATTAAAGACTTCCTAATAAGGTCCAATGAAGCAGCAGGAGGCCTAGGAAGTTCCCTCTGCAAGACTTTTGATCTCTTTCGAAGCAATGCTTGCTGTCTTGCTTCTTCCTCAGCCTTTTCTCTAGCTATTCTATCTGACATATCCTCTTCAATCTTATCCTCTGGCTCTTCATTTTCCTCTGGAACAGGTTGAACAACTATCTGATACTCGTTCTTAGGCTGTGGAAGATTGCTTAAACCAGACCGCAAGTTCCTTCTTAACTCCGCCTGTCTACGTTGTTCAAGCTTTGCATTATCAYTCACATCCATATCTTCGTTTATGTGAAGCTCATCTCTGATAGGTGTTCCTTTTGGAGTCATACCAAAAGAATATCCATCTCTTGATGGTGTCATGCCAATTCTTGGAGTAAGACCCATGGGTCCAGGAGTTGACAAAGGAGTAGCCATAGGATTTGGTGTCTGGATATCCCTTTTCTTCGGTGTAACCCCTGAAAAATCTGATGGATGCAATTCGGGATTCTCCCCACCTAATAATGGTGTCTGTGACTCTCTGAGTCTTGCAAGGTTTTCAGCTTCCATCATAATAGCATCTCCTTTCCCACTAGGTGTTCTTTGTGGAGTCCGCATTGGTGTCATCCCCTGACGTGGAGTCTGAGAATAATTTGCAAGAAGTGCACGTGTTGCACCACTGCCTTCTGCAATCTCTTCATTCCCTGCAAGAAGATCACTGGCATAACCCATCTTTGCAATTTCTTCCAATTCGTGGTCTGAAATCTGTGGTGCAGGAAGCATCAGCTTTGATCTCTTTCTAACTGTTTCTGGATCATTCAGTCTGTTGACTTGCAATATAGATGATGGAGCATCCTGCCGTTGTGCAATTTTGTTCTTTGCAATATCCTGCTTTCTCAATTGAGCCTCAATATCAACCCTCCTTTTCCCTTCAAGTTCTTCAATGGTAGTTGGGAACTTGGGCTGCTCTACTGCTCTCTCCTCATCAGTAACATCAAAAAAACCAGGCGGTGGCTTCTTCTCAAAGGGGATCTCTGCGTTGTAGTCTATCCCCTTCCTTTTCCTCTTCCTTTGTCTAGTCTCAATCCCAGCAGCCTTTAATTCTCTCCGTTTCTGTAAAGATGCAAGCCTCCTGGCTTCTTCAAGTTGTTTCTCTCTGGCTTTCCTCTTTGCCTTCTTTCCCCTTGTGTTAGCTAATCGAGCCCGTGCTTCAGACAGCATTTCCTTTTCATCCTCATCCATATCTACAGGATCTGGACGTGCAGGCTTGGACTCTGGGTTCGGGTCAATTTCTCCAGGGCGCAATTTCCGTGGGTCATCACTGGGTTCATAGTTTTCATCCTTGACACATGCCGCATCAAGTAGTTTCTCATAACGCTCAAGGCACTGAGATGGAGTACGGCCCACAATGGGAGCAATTGTTCTCCATTGTGTGGGCATGAGTTTAGCAAGATGAAGCAGTTTCTCATCTTCTTCTCTGGTCCACTCGGTCTAGGTGATTCAATAAAATTAAAAAGTCAGTTTTCAAAAATGGGATTGAACAAATATGTAAAGAAGGGCTTGTAGAAATGCAGTAAAACAATATACAATTGGAAAGCATAAATAAACATGAGTAACGCTACAAAACAGTTTTTTTTTTTTTTTTGAAAGGTAACGCTACAAAAAAGTTAGATAGCCTTATTCAGAAACCCAGTTAAACAAATAGCCATCTTGAAGGAGAAAAGRCAGCGAGGTGAAGAAGAAAAAGATAACCAAACAACGAGACACTTCCCATCTTCAGGAACACCAAAAGGATGGTGGGAAAACCACTCCAACCAAAGAAATTTGATTGGAGGACAAATGTTTCTCAGCAGGAAAAGACAACAAGCTCAAAGAGAAGAAGAGTACAGAACAATCATTTAGGGCAAAATCACAAAGTTCTCCAACATCAGGAAAGAAAGCGAAAGCATGCTAAAAATCGTTTAACCAAATCATAAAATACCAGAACTTCAATTAAACAAGCAAAGATCTTCGACCAACAAAAAGAAAATAAAATAGAATGAAAAGCTGTGTACACAACTCCTTCGATCAACGGCAGCTAAGCAACCTTTACTCGGATGAAAAGAAAAGCGCAATGCAAGCTAATAATGAGCAAAACTTTGAAAATTAAAATCACAAATCCAACTAAACTATCAGGTTTGAAATTCCGACAGATAGTCACTACAATAAATAGAAGTTAATCAAATACGGTGCCATTGTAAGTTCTCTGTTCTAAATGAAACAATTAAATAGATTAAACGAAGAACCACCGACCTTTTTTATGGATGGATCGAGCCACTCGTACCATCGAGCCTTGCACTGCTTCGCAGACTTGCGGACCAGAAGGGAAGATATTCGAGCCCATTGATTCTTCCCATATTTCATAACAGCCGCTTTAAGGATCTCATCTTCGGTGTTCTTCCAAACACCACCCTTTATCATAATCCTCATCTTGACTTTTGGTTGTTTTGCTCCACTAAATACTCTAGGGTTTAAGGTTACTTAGAGGACTCAATTCCCTGTCTCGACTCACTACAGTGAAATCGAAGCTGAACAAGAAAAAAACCATTCAATTTCTCTTATTACCTTCCCAAACTAGGGTTTTGAAATCCTCATTTCGCAAGTAGAAAATCTTCAAAATAAAAATAAAACAAAATATATAGCAAACAAGAAGCTCGCTCTTCTCTTTTCTCTCGCCCTGGAGGGTTAAACCTCCTTTCTGCAACTTTTATCTCACTAGGGTTTAAACTTGCCCTTCTGCAAAAGCTCTTCTACCTCTCTCGTTCTCCCTCACTGTCTGTCTGTCTGTCTGTGCATAACAAAAACAATTATTAGGAAGGGGAAACAAGGGACCGTTTGGGTAAAAATAGAAACAAGCTATAATGAACTTTACTATTTACATGGAGCGATGGATGGGCGTCTTGGGTTTCAAGCCGGTGCCACGGGAATCCGTTGATGGTATGACGCGGGTAAGAAGTGGGTCGGATGAGGGCTTAAACTTGCCCTTTAGGGTAGGGCTGAAATGGATCGGATTTAATACGATTCAAATTTGAATTCAATGCTAAGAAGTATAAAAACATTATCACATTTGAAAAATGAAAATGTATTCCATTTTATTAATTGGATCGAATTCGAATATATATATACTAGTAAGTGCGTACAATTTTTTTATATTAATTACTTGAATTTTAGATATATCATAATTAAGATAAAAAATGAAAACTAACAAAAATAAAGAATATGATTAAAAATAAACTCAAATGCTTGTAGTAAATGTGCATGTGTATTACATGTGGAAATTTTAAATTATTATTACTATTAATTTTTATTCTATTTTTCTATAAATAAAAATAAAATTTATTTTAATAAATATTTTTATTTATTATGATGAATATATAAATATGACAGAATTTTATACTTTTTCATTGTTTGTGTTCTATCTTTTTTAAATATTTATTATTCAATTATGATATCATGATTATCTTTGAAAAGTTCGATTATTGGCCCATCATCTAGATAAGAAAAGCTTTACTTTCGGATTTTTTTTAATTATATATCATCTATATCATATAAATAGTTTTTACTTATCATACTTAATTTTTGTTTGACATAATTAATATATAATTTTTTATATATATTCTTTTGATTACTTGTACTTTTTATTTTTAAAGATTTATTATTTAACTATCATATCATCGACTAATGCATTTGACCCAAACCACTAACCCACACAACCCAAAAAGGAAAATAATTTTATTTATAGGTTGACACTAAATTTTATATTACATTTTCATTATTGGTAATGATTGTATAATATTAAAGATGTACCCAATATTTATTTTTATGAATATATAACATTAGATATGTGCCCAAATTTTTTCTATTTTTTTAAATTTTATTGTTTGACTATGACATCATTTCATTTATAGGTTGATTTTAACTTTGACATTCCATTTTCATCATTAATAAAATTACTTCTTATATTTTATACGCATTTTTGCTTAGTATAATGAATATTCAATATTAGATATATCCAATTCTTTTTATTTTTTGTATTATATATTTTATATTTTTTAATTTTTTATTATTTAATTATGACATTATTTATTGATCCATTTGACCCAAAATGGTTGAATTGCTTACCCACCATTGGGAGGGAAGAAAATTGTTTTGTTTTCAAAGTATTTATTTTTGTAATATTAAAATTAATTTTGTGGATTTAATAAGAGAATATACCTTAATGTGAGATTTCATGAAAGAGAATAGGAAGATAGTTTTATTTTTAATTGGTTTTAAATTTTACATTCAATTTCCATCATTAATAAAATCATTTCTTATTTACCATGCTTATTATTTTTTAATATGTCGAATATATGATGTTAAAAATATTTTCAATGTTTTGAATTTCTATATTTTTTTCATTTTATCTATTTTTTAATTTTATTATTTAATTGTGGAACATAGATTGGCCCATTTGACCCGAAATAGTTTAATTTCTTACCACTGCCTAAATGAAAACACTATTTTTTTCAGGTAGGTTTTAAAAGTATGTTTTTATGTTATTGGAATTATTAATTTATTATGTATGGATTTAATTAATAGAATTTAGTGATGATAAGAAATAAAAATGCCTTAAATATATGATTCAATGAAAGTGAATGCAAATTAATACCTTAAGTGTTGGATTTAATGAGAAGAAATTGGGTGCATTGAATATCTTATAATTATATATTTTCAACTCATTTAATATTAACAATTGATTACCATTTTGCCCTCAATTTTTATCAACAAATTTAAATATAGAGGGGTAAATTTTCTCCTCAAAAAAATTCCAAAAATAAGGTTATTCGTGCTTGTTAAAGTAGTATAGATATATAATTCAATATATTATTTTTTAAATAAATACAAAATAGAATATTTGGCATATTTTACATATGAATGTATAATTGTTAATAAAGAGCATGTTAGCAAATATTAAAAATTTATGTTAAAAACTTTTTATACATTTTAACAAATATCCGGATTTTCATTTGCCAAAAAAAATATATTTTATGTTAAAAAATATGAAAATTTTGGAGTAAAATGTTTAATGAAGGGAAAAAAGTGCATGTTTCCAAGGGAAAAAAATCACTCCTACATGTTATTATTTTTTTCTTTTTTATCAGTATAGATGAATGTTTCTCTATTATTTTGGATAGAGATGTGCATTGATTATAAAAATGTGATGTGCCCAAATGTAGGGATTATAGGGTGTTTATGTATAATCCTTAGAACCCCTCCCTATCTTTACTATTATAAAGTGAAAGCTTGCCTGCTCATAAAAGTTAAATTTGATTATATAATATTAATTTATATCTTTATTCTTTGTTTGTGCGTGCACTTACCTTAGTATATCTTCCCCCAAACCTTGTTGTGAAGAAAAATAAGGATAAAAATATTGATTACATAATATTAACTCTTATTTTTTTATTCTTTTATTTTAAGTGCATGATGGAAAGGCTTTTATTCCCTAATGATGAAGGAAGATTTGGCCCGACCTCGTAACCACTCAACACGTGGCAAAGGCAACAGCTCGGCACAACAGCTCGCCAAGGCGCGAGCTCCGAAAGGAGGAACCAGTGGTCCGAATTCCCTACAAGGAGCCCGAACTCCCAGTAAGGAGCTCGAGCTCTCCCTTAGGCCGGATTGCGCACCATCACCTAGCTTTCAAAAACCTTGACTCTATTTATAACACACCATCATAGTGTATCCATGTGTTTCCATGTGGCCACCTAATACGAATATTTTGATCCTTGGGTTGTGTTTGTTTGCGATACAAACACAAACCTGTACTCTACATAAATACCTCTTTTTCAATTAAGGATGCAATGTGGGTTTTCAGTTCTAACCCATTTTTTGTTATCTTCTTGTTTGTTTTAAATCAATGTAAAAGTTTATACGGTGGTCTCTCTCCTATTCGATCAACTCAAGATTTAAAAAATAAAAATTTGTAGCCAAAAATAGGTACAGTAATGCACTCTCCTCACACTACGAATGTCAAAAAGACATTTTTCCTATCTTAATCATTGCATTTTTTGCATTTCAAACACACTCACAAATCTGAAGTGGAGTGCATAAATTACCCCGGTTCTAGGTTTATATCGCAAACAAATGCATTCTTAGTAAAAAAGTAAAAAATAAAAAGAGTGAAAATTTCAAAAAAGCTACTAAAGCTCAAAATTGTATTGTGTTCCTACCATACTTTGAACCTTGATAATATGTATTTGATGCATTGTATTTAATATGATTTGAATCTATTGAAGCTTTAGCAACAAAAAAAAGGCTACTAATGCTCACAATTTTTGATAATATGCACTGAACTATAGCCATTGTAAACGAGGTGCTATACCAACTGAGCTATAGCCMTTGTGCTTGTGATAGATATTTCATCATGTAGATAACTTTCTTGTCAATATGAATATTTCATGATCTAACATAATAGCTCCCGAATCTCTTTATGACGATAAATGACCTACTTAATTCAGTGGTTAGAGTATTGCTTTCACATGGCGGGAAAAATTGGTTCAAATCCAATAGTAGGTAGAACTTATTAGATATTGGGGTTAACGCGGTACCTAATAAGTTTTTTTACCCACATTCTTTTTTTATTGATTTTGTATATTTTCCATCCTTCCACTACTTGTATTCTTACTCTATATCTATTCAATTTAATTTGAATTGAATTATTAATTAATATTAGTGCAGTTCAAGAATGAATTATAATTACCCAAATTACAAGTGGTTATGAATTCAAATAGTTAAATAAATACATCCATTAAATAAAGATTGCATAGGCTCGATTTGGAATGAGTATAAATACAAATATGTACAGTATAAATACATGAAAAATAATACAAAATTCAAGGTTTTGCACTCTACAAGGATCAATCTAGGTAGAGCACAAATGCAAATTTGTACAGGACAAAACCTTGTATATTGTATTTCTAAACCTTGTTTTGCATTGTACATATTTGTATTTGTACTATTTCCAAACTTAGCTTTAAAGGTTTGAAAATTCAAAATAAAGATCACAATTTTCTATTAAGAAGGCACAAGTTAGTCAGAATTTATGCACAAGAATTGGTTTGGGAAGCAAGTTTTTAAATGGCTAAAGGTGGACGAGGCATAAGCCTCAAAGTATAAATATATATTTTTTAATTTTTGTATATAAATACAATGTATGTATATAGACACAAGTTATTTCATTTTATAGCCAACTTATACATTTTATTTTTATTACATGCATATTCTTTTTAATATGAGACTTGTGTTTTTTAAAATTTCATTTCTTATTTTGCTTTATGTTTATAACTCTATTTATCTAAATTAGTTAATATATACATATATACATATTAAAATTATTTGTAATATTTTATGCATTATGGGAACAATTTATTTATTTTATAGCAATTTTGATATTTATATTCATTTTTGTCTTAAAATTAATCATATTTAATTTGCATATTTCATAGTTTATATATATATATAGTTTACATTATAAAAATAGCTCTATTTAATTTATATATATTTTAGATCTTCTTCAATATAATTTAATATATAAATTATGAAGAATTAAAACTAGTAAAAGGGTTTTTTTTTTTTTTGAAGCGGAGGCAAACACAAGCGAGGCGAAGCGGAGCAAAATTTGTTTGTAGAAGGGTATTATTGTTCGTTATAATTAGAATTGAAAAAAAAAAGAAACCCTATTCTAACATGTACATTCAGTAAGAGAAAAACAAATTATATGTTTTTTTTTTGTTTAAAAGAAGTATTATGGGATTTTTTTAATATAATTGGTTTATTTTATTT